AATGGGTAATTTTCACTCTTATCTTGTGAAGTATGAGGGTGGTCATGAAAAACTACTGAATTGATGATGTTTGTTGGACATTTGATCTTTGTGAAAATAAATGACTTTGCGTGTTTATTCGGGGGGGGGGGATGAGTTGTTTGTGGTTGATTGACATAATTATAGCTGTATTCTGCAAACTTATTTCTGGTGAATATTTTTCGTTTTTGCGATGGTTTTGTCATTAGTCTATATGTTTGATAATCCATATGTGGATATTTTGGAACAACAGAGGGTTTAACCGTGGATTGTAATTTTACCTGTGGTAATATTGGATTTTTAGGTCTTGGCGTTGTAAGGTTTGGGTTTATTGGTGAAATACTTTGTTGTGTGGTTGTTACAATTGTTTCGACTATTTCTTCATTTAGAAAATGTGATGGTGTTTGAATATCTTGTTTGGTAAGATTTTAGTTCCATTTAGATTTTCTTGTTGTACAATATTCGAGTTTAAACTATTATTTCCTCTTCTATCAGGTAAAAATGAATTATAGTTTAAGGCTGTTGCGTCTATTGTGAATTGAATTACTTTTACGTTGTCTTTGTGAATAGAAATTGTGTTAATTGCTTGGCTTGAGCTGTCTATTGGTATGTTAAAAATAGTGAGTGAGACTATTCGAGGTCCCAAACATAATCTGATTGTTCTGATAAGATAGTGTCGTCGTTTGTACTTAGGGGTCTAAAATTCTTTCTCGCTGGTGAAATTAAATCTTTATTATTTGTGAATTAATCAGTAATAAACTATGCTAAGACTTTTTGTAAGTCATGTTTAACATTTTGTGAGACTTCATTACTTATAAATTTTCACGGATTGCATTTAAAAATTCTGAAAACGCTACAATTTCAATTCTTACATTCGTGTGTCTTGATGTTTGAGCTGGTGAAGTACTTTGGGTTTCTGTTTTCTCTAGTATAGATAAACAACTATATATTTTTGAAAATACATCGTTAGTAAATAGTGAATTCGCTCTCTGTGAGTTTTGATGTTGTATGTTTTTTATGTATTCTGTGAATACTTTTAAAAATTCTTTATCTACATTGTCTGTTTGAATTGTGTATTTACCATGAAATTTACTTGGTGAACTGATTTCTATGTAATAGATTCCATACTTTTGTTGTATATTACATATTCTTTTTAGATAGTGATCGATAATTTGTCTTTTGATTTTTATTTCTGGAAATTCTGTTTTGAATGGGCAAGTTGCTCGTTCAAATAAATTTGCAATTAAAATTTGGCAAAATTGTAATTGTCCTCTATCATCAGTTAGTGAATTGATGAGAAATGGGAAGACATAGTTTTCGTCTTGACTTTCTTCACTTTGGTTCATTTCTGTGTTTGATGACTGTTATTGCGTAATGTTCAATGTGTTTGATTGGTTGATTCCAATTGTATAGACGTACTGGTTTGTTTTGTATGTCTTTTTTATTCCTCGTTTTCCTTGTATTGATGAATGTGATGTGGTTTCTGATTCACAAAAATATAATTGATCATTAACTGGGTAGTTTTTTTTACTGAGTCTTTTAATTTGTAAAGTGCATCTAAGTTACTGGTTTCTGATTCGGAGACTGCGTTTCTTCGCTTTGGAAATGTTTTTCGTGTAATTTGTCTTTGTTTACTTTTTTTCTTTTTATTGTTTGTCTTTTTGTTCGAATATATACTATTGTTTGTTTGTGTGGAGTGATTACGAAATCGTATTTTTCGTTGTTGATTTCACAATTGTGTAGTACGATTGTTTGTTTATTTCCTAAATTGTTCAGTGTCATAAGGTTTCGGATGATGAATGCAAGATTGTTATTAGTGATTTTAATATGCTAGACTGTTAGTCCTTACTATTTTTTGTGGTTAGTCTAACTTGGGTCTGGTATTCAGGGTTGGAGAGAAAAACATATATCGATTCCGGAGAATGATTGTTACTTTCTCGTGACTAGTCTAAGTTAAGGTGTTAACTTACTTAATCCTACTTAGGGGTAATGATTGTGTTCAAGGGTTGGAGAATAGTAAATCGGTCCACAAGGTTCAGGTATAATTAGAACGCAAGTAGTTCGTTAGATACTATTTAAAACTTACTTTAAGTTCAAGTATTAGCCTGGGTCAGGTGAGAGGGGGAATCAACTGAAGGATGAATAACTGAAGTTCTTCACTGTTTAGCCTAATTAGAATGGTTAGATTGACTAAAAAGTATCTATTAGTCCTGGGTCTAAGAAAGGGTTGGGTAGTGAATTGACGTTTGAGGTCGTTAGACACTTAATAATTGGGTGGGGAAGAACAAAATTCTTCTATTTGATCCAAGGATAAGCCTTGATGATCAGGATATAAATTTAATGATATAAAATTGGTTAAATCAAATTGAGATCCAAGGAAAGCTTTGATGATCTGTTTTAATTTTAAATAAATTTAAGTTAAATAAAGGTAAAAATTAGAATAGGCCTTTAGAAATAATTTTAAGTTTAATTGATAGAAAAGTTCAGTTTTGGATGACTTTAAAGGTTTTATGGTTTGCTGTTATGCTTAGGCAATGGAGCTGGAGATGAAAAAATTATTAATACTTACTAACAATTTGTGTTTATACAAACTAATTTTTATTTTTATTTTCAATAAATATTTTTTTCCAGATATATTTTTTAATTTTACTGCAGTTTGGAGGGAACGACTAGAGTTGTTTTTATCAGTCGTGATTGTACAATAATAAGTTTAGCGCCTGTAATGATCATTGAAGATTTTTCTTGAAAAGTTTCTATGTTTGCAAATGAAAATTTAAATTCATCGCTAACAAAATTCTAAATATAAAAGTTTGTGTTGGCTTTTGCCGTACGACCATGACACTTAATGGTAAGTTTCTCCGCAGTCGAATGTCGTCTTTTGTCCGAGGTCTTATTCCAATTCCGGTTAGTTCTTTTTTTTGTTCGGAATAGTGGCTCTGATCTATTGAGTCGTAGAGACATTTCAGTTAAGTTATTGTCGTGTAACATTTTGAAAATGTTTTTGTCTAATTCTAATCTATTTTGTTAGTTCTAACCTAGTTTGTTATTTAAGGTCTTGTTCTAGACTTTTGGTCGCACCAGATGAGTAAGGTTCTAGGTGTAACTCATAGAGTAATTTCAGATAGGGTACACGGAATCGAAACAACCAAAAATCTGAGGGTACTTTGTTTAGTAGTCGGAAAACTCTAGTAAATGAGATAACTATGAAAAAATTTCTGTTGTTATTTGCAGCTCAACGTTTTTTCATAAAATTCTCACTCTTGCAAATAAATTAGGTTTAATTTTTTTTATTAAGATGAATTCTTTAGTGAAATGATTGGATGAGAAAGCATACATGTCTCTGCAGGCTTCTTTGATCCGTGTCAGGGCTTACATGAACTGTATTTTTTTTAAAATTGAGTTTCAACCCTGTTTCACCTCCCCATACATTTGGTAAAACTTATAGAAGAAACTCAGAGTTGTTAAAATTATAATGGTTTTGACCCTGAGATAAGTCAGCGAAATGCAACTGGGCTTAGGTTGTTTCCCGTTAAAAATTTAAATCACGAAAAAACATAGCCCACTTATTGTAGCAATATTGGACATAGTTGGGATAACAATGGCGAGGGCTTCAATCCAGCCAGAATCTAATTATTTGGATGTTTCTCTCCTTTTATTTCAATTTCTGATTGAAGAAAAGGTGGAGCTATACGTCCTAAATTATCTGAAACTTGACATTTTCTGATTACATTTTTTTGCAAATGGCTCACTCGCTTTTGCGTGAGTTTGTTTTCAATAGTGTAGTCGAGAAAAGATTAATTGTGGTGAGTTTTCGTAAACATGAACATTTTTGAAAACTAGGAAAAATTTTGCGGTGTTTGTTATTATTAATTTTTTTAACTCATCATGGGATCAATTGAGCGATCTCCCCCCCGCGCAAAAACGGTAAAACGGTACAAAAAAATCAGCAAACGCAAGAAGATGGTTTATATGTTCGTAGCACGCAATCAATTGACCGATTGAAGTTTATTTTATATGAGTATCGAGAAAAATTTTGAAAAAGAAAAAATCCAAATTACATAAAAAACATCGATTCTTTAATTTTTTTGTAAACTTTTGTTTGGGCGACCATTGCCTCATCAGAAAGCAAATTACCAGGGTTGATGCTCTAGCCTTGGATGTGGATATTAAACATTGCTCTCCGCAGCACCTTAATATTGTGTGCAAAACACTTTTCATCCTTTGAGGACAGAAAAAATTAGCTTTATTTGCCTCAAATTTATTGATTCTTTTTCACTTTGATTGTAATTTTTGAGCTCTGATATTGTAACTTTTGGCTTTCCTCATTCGTTGGAGAATCTGTTTATGATTTCATATCATCCAAACTATTTTCAAGTGTTTATAAACCATATAACTTTAATTTTTATATGGCGGGATGAAAATATCTTAAAAAAATGAATTTTTTTTTCACTTTTGAAATTTTCATCAATTTTCTTTAAAAGAGAACGCTTCTCCATAGATGCGAGAGTATTGCTTGCGCTGAATAAAAGAATGATATGAAAAACTCTAGGTAAACTAAACAATTATTTGAGTTGTCACGTCAACAATAGCAAATAATATATAATTAACAAGTAACAAATTTTAACTTCAATGTAAAATATTTATTTTCTGAAATATAGCATCCATAATTACAGACAAAAACGAAGGACTGTTTATTGTCGATAAAATACTCAGTTAAATGTTATTCAAACACTCAATTAACTAATGATTAAATCTAACTAAATCAATATTTCACCAAGTATTGCCAATGATCTATTTTTAATGGTGTTCCACTCTTGAACCCCACGATATTTAACCTATATTACTTAATATTGCGTCTATTTAGCAAATATAACTCAATGCTGGAAACAAGCATTAGCCGGTCAGTCAGTACATATTTACTTTGAAATAATTTAGATGTTTTAAATAACGGATTTAATGATTTCATTTCAAATGTTGAGTTTTTAAAATAGCCCCATTGATATTAATAAGTTAAAAATGGCTGTAACGAGTAGAATGGCGGTATTTGGTGTCAAATTAGTGCAATGCAGTTTGTCACTTCTGAACCTGGAGGTATCTATCCAGTTGCATCTAAACATTCAAAATCATTCTTTAAGTAAGAGTAGCCGGTTACTGTGCCAGTAACACCGAATCAGGAGCAGGTCTAGGATTTTCTCGAGGGGGCGGGTTTTCGAAAAAAGAATCAAAAATTTTGTCGACCTTATAGGTCCACCAAATTAATAATCCGATCGCTACTAAAACACTATAAAAACCCTAATTTGACATAATTTTCCGCGCCGCAGACAAATTAAAAAATATGGTTGAAAATGCCGTTTTTGAGCACATTATTGAATTCTTTTGAAGAAAAATTCATTTTTTCGACGCACGCTCTTTTTTAAAAATGGAATATATTCGCGCCAGATGCATTTTTAGGGTTGGTCGCCGGAATTGGATGACTTAAAAATGATACTAAAGGGGGAACCTTTTTGTTGGTGAGGAAAGAATGAAAAAAAATCGCAATTCATTTCTATTTTATCTAGATAGCAAGAGTCTTTTGAAAGTAAGCTCCTCGAATAAGTAATTGCATTTCTAATAGTTCAAACAAAACTTAATGAAAACTGCTAATTTTTGACACGTGTTGATCAAAAAGTTCTTGTAGTAACTTTTTGGCTAGCCCGGAAGATCTGCCTCTGGTCTGATTCAACTGCTGAATGTGACAAAGCATGCACAGATCAGGAGTTGGCATGTCCCCACACTGTCTATCCCCCCAGTCTTCGTTGATGGAGGGGGTGATCTGCTCTTCGCATAGTTGGTCTGGGGAGTCCTGACACCACGTGAACAGAGAGTCAAACTTGAGTGCCAAAGAGCTGAACACAAAATTCTTATTATCAATTTTGAGATTCAAAAAGATTGAAGTAAGCAGAAATATTTAAAGAACAAGGAAATCATAAAAACTCAAAAAACTAGGACAAAATATTTTGCCTCCGAGAAAACTTATCAGTGATTATCTTTGCCTCTTTTAGACAACTCTGATCAATGCTTTGCTTTCTTACCCCAGAGCATTTTCCTGAATAGAATATGGAATCTGGTCCATAACCAGGGATGCGAACTGGCCCAGTCTGACATTGTCCAGGTTGAACTTCGTATCCGAATTGTATCCAGTGTGAAGCACTATCTCTCTCTTCGGGAAGAAACTGGTCGCTCCAATTACGGGAAGACTGTGGAAAAAAAGTGAATCAAAAAGAAAAGTTTGAGACGCGGATCAAGTTCTGCGATCAGATGTTTGCCTGTTTCGTATTTCAAAAATCTTTAAATAGAAAGAAGATCCAGAAACATTTTTTTCAATAAATTTAAACCACCTTGCAAACAATTTTCATTTGGGGGTAGCCTACAGACTGAGTGTTCGTTAAGAAAACGTCGCCGGTAACATGCCAATGGTCTCAATTAAAACGGTTTTTCCGCCCCCCTAAAATGGATATCCTAAAATAAAACAGTTCCAAAAAATACGACTTGGGAAATATTTCGAATTCAGAATTGGGGACAGACTTGTGGTCAGAACCTTTACCTCTTTAGATCGCTTTCGTTGAGCTTTCATATCAACCCAAAACTCTGGAACAGCGCTTTCGGCCACAATATGCACTAATTTGACAGAAGATTAATGCTCGCCAAAGGGACAGTGTTTTTGACGTTTTTTTTGCAAAGTAGAAAACCTCGGTCTATTTAATATATATTTTAGCGGAACTTGAAAAAAATGCACAGACACATTTTATCGTTTAAGTCATCGAAATTTTCAGCAACTTACCTTCTAGCGCGGGTCCAATTTGGAAAAATATTAGACCCCCACATGACGTAACAGCCTTCGTCACTTAACTTCTGTTCATCTTCATGGTCGCTATCAGTGACAATGACTTCAAAACTGCCCCCCAAAGTGACATTAAACACAGCCACTCGACCACTCTGGCCCCCCTTCACTCCCAAGGGTGCGTTTCTGCCCGTGCGAAATACAAGTGAGGGTGCGATATTGGTGAGCATGAGACGTGCGAACTGTTTTCTCTTTGTCTGTTTGGGGTTGGTGAGGGAGAAGTTGAATCGGAGGACGGAGGCCGAAGGGGAGGGGGGACTGAGGGAGGAGAGGCAGAAGACGTCGAATGAGTCATCGCTGAAACGAAATTCGAAACAGAGCTTAAAATAATTTCAATCACCTTTTCTTATAGCTTTGCTTAGTAAAATAGTGGTGATGTCTGGGCATTCATGCGATATTCAGCAACATGTTTACTTGGGAAAACATTCAGGAGTTTTGCGACGGGGTGCATTTTCAAAAAAAAAAAAACAGTTGGTCGACATTTTTTAAGCCGACCAAATCGATCCAAGAGATGAAACACCATAGCAAAAGAGATTCTTTTCTGTCAAAATTGCATAATAACTGAGGCAGTCCAAATCCACAAATCCAATTTGCGTTTAAGTAATTATTTTAGGTGATGGCTATTTTTTCATCAAGTATTTAATATATTTTTAAGATGCCTTTTCTGTTTTCAAATTTTTTTCACACTTTTTTACATTCTAATTAAAATCTGTGCATATTACTCACTAGAAAGCATTCCAGTAGTATCTGTGCAGCTGAGTCATGTTCAGACGGTGTGAGTTGTGCACTGCAATCACTTTGGGAGTGAGGAGGGAGTCCCTGAGGGCTGCAATCAGGGGATCCATATCCCCCACCCAAGTGTCCTCGATCACCAGTGCAAACAGATCGGCTGAAGAAGTATGTGATGTTTTCAATTTAGGTTATCATTTAATTATTTATGAAATATAATTATTTAATTTCATATTTAATTTGTTTATGATTCCTGTACAAAGGAACTTTTTAAAAAGCTTTTACCTCAATTTATTTTTTCAACATCGGGTAGCAAGAATTCTATCCATCAACAAGTCACAAATTATTATAGGTTTTACTGCTATTTTTTTTACTAATGTTTCCCTAATTTCTTTTTTGGCATTCAACTATTTTTCATCTATCAATATAATTCTACCGTTTGTCCGGAAGTCTGGCCTTAGAGTAAGTGAGAGTCCACTCCTCTCGTCTATCCAGATCCTATCTTCATTCAGCAGTTTAACTGTGCGTCCATTGTGGTACACGTCAGCCTAAATACAACGTGGAGCTAACATTTTTTTGCTCAAGTCTCGGAATCGAAACAACCGAAGATCAGAGGATACTTTCTGTTTAGTAGTCGGAAAACTCGAAGCACTGAGTTCGTTTTATTACATAATCTGTTGATTTTTTTTTGTTGAAATACTGTCCATTTTCTGGGAACTCAATCAAAAATAGGCCCATTTTATTATTCAATACTGATTGCTGATAATGAAGCACCTCAATGCTAAGATTTATTATTTTGAACTAGAAAAAATTAATTACACTACGTTGAGTTCATTAACTTAGGCTTATATAGGTTTGAGAGGGCATTCTAAGGGTTGGTAAAATCTGCTGAGTAGTATCCCAGAAAGCAAAACAAGTTCATCTCTCCAAAAAACAACTCTAACTGACTAACCGCAATTAGACTAATAAATCATGCTATTTTCAGCAAACTTCATGGAGCTTTTTCCAGGCGATGTTAAGGAAAGCTAGTAAATGAGATAACTATGAAAAAAGTTCTGTTGTTATTTTCAGTTCAACGTTTTTTCATAAAATTCCCACTCTTGCAAATAAATTAGGTTTAATTTTATTTTATTCAGATGAATTCTTTAGTGAAATGATCGGATGAGAAAGCATACATGTCTCTGCAGGCTTCTTTGATCCGTGTCAGGGCTTTACATGAACTGTATTCTTTTTTTAAATTGAGTTTCAACTCTGTTTCACCTCCCCATACATTTGGTAAAACTTATAGAAGAACTTCAGTTTTGTTAAAATTATAATGGTTTTGACCCTTGAGATAAGTAAGCGAAATGCGACTGGGCTTAGGTTGTTTCCCGTTAAAAACTTAAATCACTAAAAGACTTCATAAAATTGTTTTTTAGACTATCAATTATTCAATTATGCACATATGTTTGCCCACTTATTGTAGCGGTATTGGACATAGTTGGGATAACAATAGTGAGCGCTTCGATCCAGCCAGGAATCTAATTGTTTGGATGTTTCTCTCCGTTTATTTCAACTTCTGATTCAAAAAAAAGGTGGAGCTATACGTCCTAAATTATCTGAAACTTGACATTTTCTGATTACATTTTTTTGCAAATGGCTCACTCGCTTTTGCGCGAGTTTGTTAAATGAGCACACTTGATTCAATAGTTGTCATATGTGATATTTTACTGTCAACATTCTAACCTCTAAGTTATATTCAGTTATGACCTATGACCATGCTAATTTAAAATACCTGCCAAAAACGCAACGGCTTTTGGTAGATCTAGAGATTGTTCATTGTCTTTTTTGATACAAAACTAATCCTGTGAAACGAACTCTTAATTCAACCTTTTTACTATCTCTTAACTTAGCTTTGTTACCTTAGTCCTTTATTTAGTCTTAGATAAAAGCCTACAACTAATTGTATGAATCTTAAACCAACCAGTCTTAAACTAGTCTTGGTTTACGTTTAACCAATTGTAACCAACAGACAGTTTTACCCTAACTTTTTAACAATAGTGTAGTCAAGAAAAAATTGATTGTGGTGAATTTTCATAAACATGAACATTTTTGAAATCTACGAAAAAATTTGTGGTTTTTCTTCTTATTGTTTTTTAAAACTCGTCATGTTTTTGTATCGCAAGTGGTACGCGTTTCTGCTTCCTCTCTGTTCTCGAAAGTTTTTTCAATATTTTTTTGACCTTCTATCTCTCTGCTTACACAGCAAACAACTAATTTATCTTGCCTGAAAGCGCAGCACTATGGAACCACCATTGTATTTGTGACATTGGATATGGAACAACCACAACCAACATGTGGCATTGGATCTTCAAAAACAATAATCAATTGTTCATATGTTAGTTAAAAAATTTAATTTGTTCCCGATTTGATTTTTATTGGAAGAATAAAAAACGGCTAGTCAACTTGCTTGCGTTCCAACGCAGTTCATGATGAAAAGATCAGTACGTGAAATTTGTCGTATTAAAAAAAAATAGTTAATCTGCAGCGTGCGTTCAATCGGCGGGAAAAATCCTTACATGCACTCTTGCAAGTGAGCTGTAGAGGTTGTTTGAAAACATAATTTAAAGTGAAAAACAAGTAAAAACAATTTAAAATTCAACTCAAAAATAAGCATGTACTTAACAAAAAATTATACTCAAAAATGTACTCAATAATATACTTAACACTACTTTTACGGTCATTACAAATCTAACATACGAAAGATTTAAATTCTTTGACCGAAGACAGAAAGAAAGCGACTCATTAGAGAAATTCCACGAAACACTATCCGAGTTGGCAAAAAATTGTAAACTGGGGGAACTTGAGTCACAATTAGTGAGAGACATTTTCATTCCAAATATGCAAAACCTTGAGATACAAAAGAAACTATGCATCGAATACTTGGCTCCAGAAAACGTACTATCTTACGTACTAGTCCATGAGAAAGGTACCAAAATTCATCAACAGTACCTAAAAATCTTTGCCTATAATGCGGTACAGAGACCACAATACATAAAGAATGAACCGATCCTTAATATCGTCGAAAACAATAAGTGTCGCAACTGTGGTCAGGAGTTCAAGAAAGGACACCTAACTACATGCCCAGCCAGAGATAGAAATTGCAATACGTGCGGACATAAAGGCCACTTTGCGAAACATTGCAGGAGTTCAGCAAGAACGCAAGCAAAGATAGTCGAACAAAACCAAATACCCCATGAAAAAGAAAATACCCGGGTTAAACGGCAGGAGAATCCCGAATTCGAAGTCAACTTAGATGATTTTTTTTTAGTTCTAGCGGTGGACACGGATATCCAATTAAATGAAGTTGAAGATAAGATTGAACGTGGAGTGAGAACGGTATTTAACCACGAAGGCCTAGAACTAAAAAAGACGTTGATGGTATCTCTGGGAAATTTCAACCCTTACTGCACCGAAATTCAGATTGACTCAGTAAGCCTAGTCTCATTCATGAAAAAAGACCTACTTCATGAACTGAAGATACGAGATAGATTTTTAAAGTTAGAACCTGTGGACGAACTAGCAAAGAAAGCGTACCAAGGCTTCGGGAGCACAATAAAGATTATTGGAAGAGTTCGGGTGAAAATTCGATCGAAGGGTTGGGACGCTAGAAACCAGAACTTTTTGATTACCGAAGGAGCAGAAAAAAATCTCCTCGGAAACGACATATTACCGAACCTGGGAATAGTAGTACTCCAGAAACAACCCCCACCCAATGGGTCAGAGCTACGGATAACTCAGAAAGGATCACCCATCGGGATAGACGTCAATCAAATAAAATTTGCATCGGACAGAAAACCAGACCAAAACCAAGAGACACCATCACAAAGTGAGTTTAAAGCATACATATCAAGACAAATTTCAGACCTTATAAAAAGATCCGGTAGATCAACTAATTTCATAATTAACACTTATTTTAACGAACCAATAAAGCCAATACAGGTGAAGGGGAAACGCAGTCGGATCCATCTTCTCCCTAAAGTTAAATTATGTATCCACCAACTACTAACAGATGGTCACATCGAAAAATTCTCTAGAAGTTCCGAAGATTGTTTCATCTCCCCTATCGTAATTACAGCCAAAAGGGACGGATCAATTAAAGTAGCACTAAACTCGAAATTATTGAACAAACAGATATTTCGTAATAGATATCAAATGCCGAACCTATTCGAACTAATTGATAACGTAGCAGTTACGATTAGCGGTCACAACGAAGAAAAAAATTGGTTCTCATCGATTCATCTTAAGTACGCATATAGCCAAATACCGCTTTCAAAAAAGGCAAGCAACCAATGTAATTTCAACATCGTGGGGGGAAAAGTAACAAATTCCTACCGTTTTAAAATCGGATTTTTTGGGTTAAGCGATATGCCCAATGAATTTCAACGCATAATGGACCGAATGACGGAAAAATTACCAAATACCCATTGTTACCTTGACTACATCTTAATTGCTACCGTGGGTAGCGAGGATGAACACAAAAAACTAGTTATCAACGTTTTAAAAACACTAGAAGACGAAGGATTGGCCATAAAATGGGAAAAGTGCACATTTTTGACTCATAATATTGAATGGTTGGGATTTAAAATCGATGCAAAAAGGATGACACCACTAATACATAAATCTGACGCAATCAGAAATCTGAAAGAACCAAGTTGTATCAAAGATATAAGATCACTAATGGGATCAATAAACCAATTCAACAAGTTTATACCAAATTTAGCGTCCTTATCAGCACCGTTTAGAGAACTTATGCAGAAAAATAAACCATTTCATTGGTCCACGGTGCATGTCGAGGCGTTTGAAAAAGAGGCGTTCGATGAAAGAAATTTGTTAATACGGTAACGAATCATCATTTTGACGTAAAACTGAATACCAGAGTGAAATGCGACGCATCACATTTAGGACTGGGCGCGTCCATCGAACAAGACCATCGGGTGATTTGGAAACCTGTAGCGTTCGCTAGCAGATTTTTGAACGTAGCTGAACTAAAATATAGCAACAATGAACTCGAATTGCTGGGTCTAGTGTGGGCATTGGATCATTTTAAAAACTATTTATTGGGCAAACGATTCTCAATCCTAACAGACCATAAAACCTTAATAGGAGCACTGAAAGACGACAAATACACTAAAACGGCTCAATCACGTCTCACAATTTATTACCATTCGACTTTACCGTCGAACGTTTACCGGGCAAAGACAAGGGAGTTGTCGAATACTTATCCCGACACCCATCGGGTGAACCCGTACCAGTTTCACTCGACGATGAAAAAATTGTCATCGCTTCGGTAAACCAAATTAGTACCCTTCTAGGTTTTGATCATCTGATGCCGAGAAATTCGTGGCCGAAAATAAGAAATTAATTCTCTAAGCAAGTCTTAGCACTTGACGTCATACACTGCAATACGATTGGCCAGTCGATAGATCATATGACCAGTCAAGAAATAGAACGTGATAAACGAATTTGAACGCCGCTGAAACTTTCCAAGCTATAAGTAACCCCTCTA